TCGGAAAAGGAAACCAAAAAGGAAAATAATAATAATAATTTTAATTATTAAAAATAAAAATAAAAATAAATAATAAAAATAAATAATAATAATTATAATAATAAAATATTTTTAGTAACACCAGCTCACTACAGATCCATGATTGAAATTATGTGTTTCTGGATGGTGTGAAATTCAAAAATTTGTGGCTGTAGCATTAAGCAGAAGTAAACTCGAAAATTATCAATCCATTTGCCTATATTTTACATTCCATACTTCTTACGGAAAGCTTACGAACAGCGTGACTTCCGCATGACTCCCTTAGTTTTCTTTCATTTTTGTTTGGGGTCATAGTCAGGAAGGATTAGTGTTTGAACCTGTAACTCTCCATGGGCACGTTGGCCCTCTTAGATGGACCAGGGAAATAAACTTATATTGCAAGCATACAAAACAATAATTGYCCTAGTTTGAGCGTAGCTTGAAAACAACTTTGGAAGCATCATCGATCTGTGCATACAAATGGCTTATAAATGCGACTGAAATTGCAACCAACACATTTATTCAGATATTTTCTTGTACTTTGTATTTGAGTCTATTAAATAATGGTGATGTCTGAAAACAATAATGTTTCTTTTAATTTGAACACACTCCCATGGCATTCATAAAACTTATGAGCTCTGGTTTTCGACCCTGTTGTTGTTGCATAGGTTTCTTCCTTATAGCTGGTATTTTTCTCTTTCCATTTCTAATGAAATTCGGCATTTTTTTCGTTTTGTCTCGACGTCACGCCATCCTAGAGTATCAAAGGGCATTTTGAAAGGATATTGATTCAGCTAGTAGTCAAAAGTATATTTCTTGGAATAAAGGAACATCATATAATGCACTTTGGTCAGGACAGACTTGGTCAAGAAGGTACTTGTGTGTTTTGAAGTCTAGATAAATCTCTGGGATCTTCGCTTTAGCGAGTTTGTCGAGCACGTTGATTTTCGTGTTGGAGACAGCAACAGCGACACATCTGTTACCTTTTTGTGTAAGTATTTTGAGTCATGTTTTAATTAAGGTATTCTTCTTTGGCTGTTCTTGTCTTATATTTCCCAATTATGTCCATGTTTCCCTTCCATATTTCTGTTGCAGGCTGGATAGTTGGTTTTTCTTCTATATAGTAATCGACCGTTTATATAGGTAAGCGTTCTCAAAACGAAAGTACTATGTTAGTACCGTTGTATAGACATTACAGTTATTATTAATTGCTGGGTGAAAAACGTTATTGATTGCACGGATATCCACTGATTTCTAGAATTTTAAAAACAATGACCGAATAATCTCCTTCGGCCAATGCAAGTACGGTTCTCACCGATAGCCAGGTGTATGTTCCGGAGATTATTAAAACATTCATATACAGCAGTGCGATTCATCCAAAAAAATATTTCGCGAAGCCAGGGCAATAGTCAATACAACGGATAAGCGACAACGATAACACTCACAATACTATGGAAAAGCATATTGAATATCGAGGTATATAAATGAACACATTTTATGTTATTATCACTATATCTGAAGTGGTTTTAGTAGTTTAGACAGCATAAGTCAGTCTAAGAATGTCACGCTCTAAAAAAGGGAAATAATAAAAGGTTCCTTGCGTGACCCCAGAAAATTTGTTGTCTACAGGAATCCCGTCAAGGTCCGTTATCAAATCGTCGTTCCCAGTTTCATGATCATTGTTGCCGGAATTAACAGGTATCAGCTTCTTGATCAAATGTATTGTAAAAAATATCTCGAGAAAACTTCTCAGCTTCCGTTATAGCTGCAGGTAAATGTAACTATGCATGCAGGGTTAGCTCGATCAAGTCCCACTCAGACAGTCTGGTTTTACTGTACTTCTCATGCATAGCTCAACCATTAGCATATCAAAAGTATCTTATAATTTAATTGGATTTAATTTCACGACTGACTCAAATTCTGTGATTTTACAGACTTCAGCATCAGCTATATTAAAACGATGCCTACACCATCAGACAAAGAAAAGACAAATCATGTTAGACTCTCACGTCTGCTAGCAGATATTGGACGCCGTGTTTTGCAAGATGTCCTCGACTCGCTCCATCCACCACCTACTCTGCATGCATTTCTGAACTCAGGGCACGTGTACTCTCAACTTATTAGCCTGAAATCCAGAAGAGTTATTCACTCTGAGCAATGGGATAAGCTTTATCCTCCAGCAGGTGTGACCGTTTCTTCAGGAAACTTTGATATCACTTTACTTTTTCTCTTGTTGAGAAGTGTCTGCGGTCTAGCACCTCCTACCACAGGATGGGATAAAGCCCCCTTGGCAACAGACTTGAGTATGGAGGCAGATTTGGTTCGAATAAAGCGATGCCGCAATGAACTTTATGCTCACAGAGTCGAGATGGCTATGACTGATAAGGAGTTTAATTCCAACTGGATGGAAATTGAAGCTACTCTGGTTAGACTTGGAGGAATTGGGTACAAGATTGATATTAAGACCTTACAGACTGTTTCCATGGATCCGGAGAAAGAGAAGTTCTTCCAAATTCTTCTTTGCCAAGCATGGGAAGAAATTGATAATTCAGTTCAGTGGAAAGGTTGGTATTGTGTGCGTGCTTATCAACGTTTCTACATGCATACTTACACAGCAGTGAAAGCCCTTCATTAATGGCTGCGTTTTTTACATCCTCGTAATCCTCGTGTCAGAATACTTATATCATTTCACAATGTTTAAACCACAGAAACTCACGTCAGTTCTTCATGATCATTTAATCAAACTATAAAACATGTGTATATAGATCCCTTGAATGTGACGTCGCCAAAGCAGCTGCAGGGACTGAAATTAAAGTAAAAGAGTAACGTTTGCTATCTGGGGACAGGAAACTATTGTTTTTCCACAAAATCTACATGAAGTGAAAGGAGGCTGCACAGTGTTCTCATATCTTAATACAATTCTATTGTTTCTATAACTTACAGATCTGATCAAGAGAGAGTATAAAATTGCTTTTGTCCTTGCTATCGTGGGTGTTGTTTTGTACCAATTGTATATGCCAGGCTCATGGTATCGCTATAGGGAATGCAATAAAGGTAGAATCGACGGAAGTGAAGTATGGTTTAATTTCGGAACAGACGATAAACAGGTGTGTTGAAGGTGCACATACACGTAGTCTCAAGTTTCTGAACCTTATAAAAGTGTTTTTTATCTTGCAGCAACCAAGAGTGCATGGTGTAGAGTTCAAGTGGGAAGCGCTAAAGAAGAAGTTGAATTTGCGCTTTGATAAGCACAGAGATCCAGGTAAATTTCTGTAGTCATATGATCTTGATCTCGTCTTTTCTGTGCAAGACGCTGTTCATTTCCATAAAGAAAAGAAAAAAAGAAAAGATATAAAAGAATAAGAAAAATGTTCAAGTGCAGTCATCTGCAAAAATACCATTTGCACCAATAGATTATGTGGCACACATATCAACCGCATGCTTGATGGCAATCCATTTCTAGAAAACCTTGGCGAAAGCATGCATACGCGACAAGAACCATGACCCTTTACATGCAATAACATCGAGTGCATCTTGGGCAATTTTATGTTATTGCTAGCATGCGTATGTTTTATAACCTGATCAGTTTCGATCGGCTTGATAAGCTATGCAAAAATTAATGTTTTGCATGAATGAGCTTTTTTTAATCCATCCGTTATGAAAAAAAAAATAACACCGTAAAAAAGTAGGAAAAAATGACTTACTGACGTTTCGGACATTAAAGAGATCTCTTTATTCCGACGAAGGATTAACTTCTACGTCAAATTGTTATTTTTCCTGCTTTTTACGGTTTTAAATTTATCTTTTTACACAACTGTTTCTTTAAAAACACCGACGCAGATCACACTAGTCCATCGTAGTTTCCACCTTTCTGTTTTAATCCATCTAGGTATGCACTACTATCTAAATATAGATCGGTGCGCCTATGGAGGTGTAGTGACGGTCAAGTCAACCCTGCCTTGGGATCGAACCCCACAAGTACGTGGACCAGAGGTTTTTGCTGTCGATTCTAACTTCCTCTTTGCCTACTATGAATCAAGAGATAAATGGCATGTTTACAATACTGGCAGAGATTTTAAGGCGATACAACCTAGTAACCATGATGATTGAGCTATTCTAATTTGTATGTGAAATGACATTTTGTATCAAATCAAAATCAACGTATCTCTAAAGAGTGCTCTATCTTTTTGTAATTTCAATGCAGTTTGCATGTGCAACTCAAAGTTCTTTCCTGAAATTTCTTTTAGTAAGCTCGTGAACTGTTAAATTTAAATTTAAATTTATATTTATGAGGTATTTGTGGAGAGTGTGGTGCTCAGGCTATCTTTTATATTTTCACATTATTCAAACTTTGCAAGGTAATATAACTATGCTTATTGGTTATCCTTCATGCATTTCCATTGATGACATCTGAAACAGCAAGGCAACAACGGAATACGTATAGCGCCACAACAGCAAATTGTGCAAGAAATAATGAAAGGAATATCAATTCAAACACACACGATGTGATGAATTTGATTTTTAAGTAAAAATTCGCTAAAGAACTAGGGAACTCTCTATTGTTCTGCAGCACAGCAAGTTCCCCATGTACGAATGTCTTGGTTTTCACACTGATTATGTACATGTATTAACCTATGGGTAACACATTTTTGAAATAAAATGTGGATAAACTCTATTTTGAAACAAAGTTTCTTTTGTATTAAAAGCTCTTATCCAATCATAAGCACTCAAAACAATAGCCAACAGATGCTTCTAATTTTTGCAATGTTCCCCCACATAGAATATTGAAGCTAAAGAAAGCTTTCATGAAAGCGAAAACAGGCATCAAATAAAATATTAGAAAATTCGCTAACTTATGAAATTATAGTAGATTTTCATGTTTTAACCAATGGGATGGATGTATTCCTGCTTGCATTCCTTTGCCGTTTGCTTCCCTAGTTCTTACTCGGGGCATTACTTAACAATGCTCAAAGCAAAGACTCAACAGGTTACAGGTTTTATCACTAATACAGAACAAATACCTAAAGAAAACTAATTAAAGAACTATTGAAACTTATGATATTCTTTTGTTGGGAAGAGAAGGGTATTAAAT